TCAGAAAGAGTACAGGGATCCGCATGGAAAACCAGTTTGTAACCCCTCCAAATTAATGTCACATGTATTTAGAATAGGTGCATTTAATCCTAACAAGATTCGGAGTGGCCAGTGTTATCCGACATTTATTGAAACCCATTTCTCACTTTCTAGACACAGTTTCTGATGTTCCTTTCAGTCCCTGTCAATTCCAAAATCTAAACCCAGAAAGGAACCTGCATCTTCAACATCAGCCACTAGTCTACCCCCTTTACCGCCGTCAATGGTCCCAGAATCTCCACATGGGACAGGGTGGCTTGTGCCTTGGTGTGCCACATCACCCTTTGCTGCCTGACATACGGTATGAAGTACAGGCATTTTCTAGTGAACCTGTGATGCCACAATATTTAAAGCAGAATTATAGATGCAGATGCCCAGTCCCCCCTATGACCCAATCACTGTCTTTCACACACCCTCTGGGCTTCAGTGGGTGTCAATCACTTGTTTGTCCTATGTGGAACACACAGCTTCCATAGAACAAATTTCATCTAGCCGAGAAAGAGTTGCTGCAAAGTTTGACCCTGTGAACTAGGACAAAGAAACTGTAGCAAACAGTGTACTTAACACTGAGTACAACCGAGTTTGTGTTCCTCATGGTATTAGGTGATAATGTGTGCTGCATTATCCACTTTACAGAAGCACTACAGAGTGTGGATGGGTAGCTCAGTCTAGTGTTTGTGTTGTGCAGTTTGGTCTGGACTGCAAGCACATGTAACATACAGCATCTGGTTTATTTAGTATCTTGCAATATTCACATTTAGGACTGAGCTGTGTGTATAGGTATATAAGCATGGTGTCCGCTAAATGTCAATCAATCACTGTTGACTGGACATTACTGAAGTAACGTCCTGGCTCCTCCCATGTGACCTTGTTCTCCATTAACGAGAGATAAAATAAGATAAAATAAGGAAGAAAGCTTCACGGCAGTTGGATGTGTGATGTTGCAAGTGCTAACTTATGACCATACAACCCTAAAATACAGCAATATACAGTGGTACCTCTGTTCACGAACTTAATGCGTTCGACGATTCTGGTCGTGAACAGAAGAGTTCGTGAAGCGAGGTACCATTGTACTATGGGACCCCACCTGCAACTGAAGGTCATAATGCTAAGTCTACTGAAATCGATGTGCCACTTATGTAAATGTCAAAGTTGTGAGGAAAAAAAAATGAAATTGCAAAAAACTATTTACATTTTTTTGAAAAGACCTGGTCCACCTGACACAAACATTTTACAGCCAATGACCAATAATTATAATATAACTACATCTTTGTGCATACCATATTAGTATCACATTAACCAAATCTATGACATTGACGTCTTCTACACTACGTTATGCAATGCTCAATATTATATAAAGCTACTTGGCAATAGAGGAAGTAGAATCTTTTTAAGGATTTAAAGCTTAAAAAACATTTTGGCTTGGTATTCTACACAACAAAAACTTTGCACAAACAATGCACAGAGGTGTTGAAGCATAGTAACAATATTAGTACGTTTCCTGTTTGTTTGCAATAAGGCCATTATATTTTGCACTGCAGCATTAGACCTGTGAAAGGTTACCATATGGCTGAATAGATCTTTATGTTTCTGCCTCAGTATTCATAAAATGTGATATTGTTGCTAAATATACTGCAGTAATACTACATTTATTGAATACTGAGGCACACATAATAGCCAGAGAACTATGAGGTGAGTGATTTTCACTCATCCTCCTAGTTAGAGCTTAGGTCAATCAGTTGAATCGTTTGGTGTATGAAAACCTGTATGCATAGAAGAGAACATGTAAATTTGTTCTCTCACATCACATACACTGGTAACTTGTGTGTATTAAATATTTTACGTACTGCTGACAATTACAGCTAGTGCATTTGCAACACAATAGAGAGCAACACTGCCCCCAAGTGACAGAAATACATACTGCCAATGATCAAAAAGATCAAGGATGCAAGGTAAAGATTCCCTTTCAGGGGCCCATTTACAAAAATCTGGGTGAATCCAGGCTTTACTTCCTTGGATTCATCCAGATCTCAGATATAACAATTCATGAATTTAAAAACAGAAACTATGAAACAGTTCAACGTAGTGATAGGAGAATGTGGATCTGCTTATCAAGGTGAAGCCTAAAAAATAAGTCAAAAAGAAGAATGCAAATCAGTAAATCCTATGGGAAGCGACAGATGTTTATAAATGACAGACAAACCAGTAGACTGTTGAAATGAGCCAATTATCACATGCACCACTAAACTGACCCCCTAAATGTTAATGCATTGCCCCATTAACTAATAAATTATTCACCGTATAAATATACCTTAAGACTCTCCACCTCCTCCTTGTGCTGTCTCTTCTGCTGAAATATAGCAGCTTGGTATTCTGGAAAATAAGATGAGAGAATGGCATTCAAATCTATTTAAACAGCCCTGCCATTTACAAAGATCTCAGTCTAAATATGCATCAATATTTGTAAGGAAAATGGAGTACAATCCATCAAAAACACAACTCTCTGCATAAGACAATTCAGAGTAAATAGGCAGAGTTGATATATGCGACACAAGCTCTTAAAAAGCAGCAGATGTGGCATAACACCCAAGCCAACAGTTTTATACAGTGGGGCAAAAAAGTATTTAGTCAGCCACCAATTGTGCAAGTTCTCCCACTTAAAAAGATGAGAGGCCTGTAATTGGCATCATATGTAGACCTCAACTATGAGAGACAAAATGAGAAAACAAATCCAGACAAATCACATTGGCTAATTTATTTCCAAATTATGGTGGAAAATAAGTATTTGGTCAATATCAAAAGGTCATCAATACTTTGTTATATATCCTTTGTTGGCAATGACAGAGGTCAAACGTGTCCTGTACGTCTTCACAAGGTTGGCACACACTGTTGCTGGTATGTTGGCCCATTCCTCCATGCAGATCTCCTCTAGAGCAGTGATGTTTTGGGGCTGTCGCTGGGCAACACGGACTTTCAACTCCCTCCAAAGGTTTTCTATGGGGGTGAGATCTGGAGACTGGCTAGGCCACTCCAGGACCTTGAAATGCTTCTTACGAAGCCACTGCTTCGTTGCCCGGGCGGTATGTTTGGGATCATTGTCATGTTGAAAGACCCAGCCACGTTTCATCTTCAATGCCCTTGCTGATGGAAGGAGGTTTGCACTCAAAATCTCACGATACATGGCCCCATTCATTCTGTCCTGTACACGGATCAGTCGTCCTGGTCCCTTTGCAGAGAAACAGCCCCAAAGCATGATGTTGCCACCCCCATGCTTCACAGTAGGTATGGTGTTCTTTGGATGCAACTCAGCATTCTCTCTCCTCCAAACACGACGAGTTGTGTTTCTACCAAATAGTTCTATTTTGGTTTCATCTGACCATATGACATTCTCCCAATCCTCTTCTGGATCATCCAAATGCTCTCTAGCAAACTTCAGACGGGCCCGGACATGTACTGGCTTAAGCAGGGGGACACGTCTGGCACTGCAGGATCTGAGTCCCTGGCGGCGTAGTGTGTTACTGATGGTAGCCTTTGTTACGTTGGTCCCAGCTCTCTGCAGGTCATTCACTAGGTCCCCCCGTGTGGTCCTGGGATTTTTGCTCACCGTTCTTGTGATCATTTTGACCCCACGGGGTGAGATCTTGCGTGGAGCCCCAGATCGAGGGAGATTATCAGTGGTCTTGTATGTCTTTGATTTTCTAATTATTGCTCCCACATTTGATTTGTTCCCACCAAGCTGCTTGCCTATTGCAGATTCAGTCTTCCCAGCCTGGTGCAGGTCTACAATTTTGTTTCTGGTGTCCTTCGACAGCTCTTGGGTCATCACCGTTGTGGAGTTTGGAGTGTGACTGTTTGAACTTATCAGTATAAAAGACACCTCAACCTCAAACAGGTGCCATTGATACAGGTAATGAGTGCAAGACAGAGGAGCCTCTTAAAGAAGGTACAGGTCTGTGAGAGCCAGAACTCTTGCTTGTTTGTAGGTGACCAAATACTTATTTTCCACCATAATTTGCAAATAAATTTGTTCCAAATCAGCCGATGTGATTTGTCTGGATTTGTTTTCTCATTTTATCTCTCATAGTTGAGTTCTACCTATGATGGCAATTACAGGCCTCTCTCATCTTTTTAAGTGGGAGAACTTGCACAATTGGTGGTTGACTAAATAAATGTTTGCCCCACTGTATATACATACAATACTACAATAATATAGCACTTCTGCATCTTTTTTGCAAACCAAAACTACTGTTCACATATTATGGCAATGTACGATCTACATAAAACTCTACTGGAAAAACTAGCAACATTGGGTAAAGAAAAAAAAGCAATTGTTGGAAATGATAGCCAGGTTTCCTCTTTCCACTGGTGTAGAACAGGGGTAAGGTAGCGGTACTGTCTTCTCCCTAAGGACCATTCATAAGGCAGTAGGACTGTTTCTCTATGACAATTACTGCATATGGAGTGATAGAGGTGAACAACATTTGAAGCAGCCTGTTCCTTCAGATAAAAATGCCTCATTTAAGACCAACTAAACAGTACATAGTAGTGGAATCAAGCTATAATAGATACAGCAATTCAAAACACAAATGTCTGCACCTGTTCCGTCAGAGCCGGACGCACCTTAAAAACAAGCGGTATCATGGCTCCCATAATTTAAACTGCAGACTTTTTATTGGTAAAGAGTTCAAATTTGTCAGAATAATATTGCTGTATGTGAACCGACTGGGGTGGCATTTCCTCACTTCCTGTCCCTATAATACAAGTTCAAGAAATGGGGAAGCAGTTTTCACCATTAGTGATGAGGCTGGGCTTGATGTGAATCCAGTTCGCCCGGGTACGCCGCAGCCCGCTCATAACTGTGACTGCAACCCCCCTCCTCCCAGGATATGCATTCCCTGCACCGCAGCTATACGTTAAAGTGGTAGGGAATGCCCTAGTCACTGGCTGGGTCAGAAGGAGGGGGTGGCGGTCAGTTTTGAGAGTGCCTGGGCAAACTCGGGTGAACTGGATTCCCACCAAGCCCAGTCTAATCTATAGAGCCCATATCAGGAAAGCACAGAGAAGTTTTAACCTTTCCAAACTCTACTAAAACGCGTTTTGTCGGTGTAGCCTGTCAAGAGGTTTGTTTCGTGTTTACAGCAGCGTATGAAAGAGCCATTTCTGTAGGTAGTGACAAATGTATTTTGTTTGGCCTACCTATAAATATTTTTAAAAAAACAAAACAAAAAAAAAAACACTCCAAATAGAACCTATATGGAGCTAGGAAAAAAAGTTACATTATATTTGTCAGCAGTATTAAATTTGAATATGGAGAGAGCACCAGACTATCCAAAAGATGCAAATTGGACATTTTAAATAGACACTGAACTCAGGAGTTAAAGCTTAAAAATCAAGCACCGTTAACTATTAAACACAATTAAAGTGAATTTTAGATATCAGTTTCCAGAGTTTGTGTTTGTCAATTTTCAACTTAAAGTGACATTAAAGTCTAAAAAAAATGTTTTGTTTTTTTTTCCCTATATCTACTGCTTGCTAGCAGTAGATATAGGGGGAAAAAAAAGGAGGGTTTAGAACCCCTTTAAGCGGAATCCACAGTATTGCTTTGTTACATAACATCCCCCCAAATCTCTGCACCTCCTGCTCCAGTCAAGAACACACACCACTGATTTGAAAGAGGCTACCCATTTATATCTAAGGGCATGCAGGTTAAGTGCCTGTATGGAAGTAGTATGAATGAGTCTATAAAATCTATATGCTGTATCACAGGAAATATTTCATGACTTGCTCATTTGTGGTCCACTCAGTGATCCTGTGAACCTTAATAGTTAGTCCATCACTCTACTTGCTGCAATGGAAGGGATCAAGATACTAAGTGCCCGCCATGTATTTTTGGTCAGATCTTCTAACTAATAAAAATGTATGGCCTAAAAATAAACTAGGAGTTTATTTTACTTGGGCAAAAACCAAAATGATCTCCATGAACTTTCAATTATGGCAACTAAGCTGATTAATACCACTTCCGATGGGGGTGCTTAGCACTAAAAGCATAATCACAAGGTGCACTGTTTTTAGCTTATGTTTCTGCTTGCTTGTGTGGCTATTGTAGGTCTGTGCAGCTGCAGATCTCCATGTGTTGTGGAACTACAAATCACAGTATGCAGCTACCTCTGGGTGTCATGCCTCTTTCTTTTCTGGGTGTACAGACTTTTAAATGCATCACAGGACTTGTAGTTCATAAGCTGATGAAAGGCTGTAGTTGTTAACCCTTTGGCTAATGTGTAGGAGTTTATGTCATGGGCAGGACCTCTTTTCATTGGACAACACTCAATACACCCATATGCAGAAACACGTCCAAAACGTGCATTTAGTGGAAACGAGCATAAGCGCAAAAAGCACGTAAAAACGCACAAAGGGAAAACGTGCGTAAAAAGCGCGGAAACGCTGACGCCTAGGTGTGAATGGGGACTTAGTGAGATCTGTTTCCGACATGCTGTCAGGATCAGTCTCTAAGGTTATTATTAGCTCATAGTGACTGCTTGATATAAACTGACAAAAAAATAAATACACTGACATAAACATTAAATATAAATATATTTTTATACTATAATTTTTATTTAAAAAAAAAATTGAAAAAATTATAATAATCAAAACTTGTGAAAAAAGTTTACATTTTTTTTTATATTTTATTCGAAGTGAGGCATTAGGTACACATGTTTGATATAATTATATAGCCCTATCTGTCCTCTAAAAAACAACATATATTATGTGTGGGTACATTTAGTAAGAAATTATATTACTGATGTGGAAGAATCACACAGCAAAAATTTAAAAAGTGTGTCAGTCATTTACGAACAGAAACTGAAAACAAGCTCAGTCATGAAGGGGTTAAGTTCAACTCATGGGATGAGGGCTAGGGAGGAAGTAGATAGGGAGTAAGGAGCAATGTATGTTTAAGGGGCATGGTTAGAATGGGGGAGGGTGGGTGTTTATTGGCAATAGCTTATATAATGGCATATCATGTGGTGGGTAGAATAAAGATTTGTCTTTCGACAGACGTGGAATACGTATAGATATGGATTACCAATCACGTATGGTAGTGGTCACTACAATATGTAATGGAGATATGTGTGTGTGTGTGTGTGTACACAAAAGTAGGAAATGTTGATTGATCATAATTGATGAATGCTAAGAAATTGACTATGTGTTTGCCATAGACAAATCGCCTCCTATTCCCTGGGGAAGCCTATCAGCGAAACGCGTCGGCAGTCAACACATTCACAGTGGAGAAACGATCTATGAATATTATATCCACATGAATAGACAGCATTATACAAAAACAATAAGTATTTTGGATGTAAAGATATGAACACTGT